GTTAAAATACATAGGAATTTATAGGATTTAAAGGAACCTAATTATATTGAAATATAATTACCAAATATGTAAAAACAAATCTGTGATATAGAAATATGTGCTTCTTTATTAATTCATTAAATAATGAAATATAATAGTAGTTCTAGGAGCTATTATAAGTTTAAAGTAGTGATACGTGTGAAAGGTATTTTTAAAATATCTGAACAACCATAAATGTGATCTAGGGTATCTGTGATTACTATTGGTGACAAAGTCTTCGGAACCGCTAATACTTTAGTGGACAGTAGTCTATATTCATAAATGAAGGAAATGATAAATTTTAGTTAGAAGTAAATATAAAGATTTTTTTCCATTGAAGTTCATAACCCTCTGGTTAGAAATCTTTGTTTTTAATAGTTCAATATCTAAATATGAATGGAATTGTACTGGCTTCTTTTAGCAAATAACAAATACCCTGAGAAAGCTGTCCATGGATCCCTGTTGTCAATTAGTTCTAATAACATCTAAGCCTTGGATATTTCTGAAATTTAGAAACCTGTTTCTTCCAAACATTCCTTGTCACTCTGAAACAAGCAAATTCTATTCAGTATATAAATCGCTATATATATTTACTTTACAGTTACCCCAAACAAAACAGAATAGTAATTTTAACTTAAAAAATAGATATTGATTTTAACAGCCTTAGAACCATTGCAAACATTTTAAAGAATATTTCTTTTTCTTCCATCTTACAACTTCTTGTACCCCGTGTAGTTTTTTTAAATGAGTTTATCCAAAAACAAGTTACTAGGAATTCCTGAATCAACCACTCTAAACAGTGATTCCCAACCCTGGAGATTATCAGAATCAATTAGGGAGTACATTAATTTCTTAATGCTGCTGTAACAAATTACCACAAACTGAGTGGCTTTAAACAACAGAATTTTATTTTCTTATAGTTCTGGAGGCCAGAAGTCCAAAGTGAGTCTTACAAGGCTAAAATCAGGTGTTTACAGAGCTGCTTCTTTCTGCAGGCTGCCCTGGTTCCTTATTCTTCCAAAATCTGGTAACCATCAGCATTCCCTGGCTGGTAGCTGCATCACCCAATCTCTGCCTCCAGGGTCACATTGCTTTCTCCCCTTCTGTAGTCTAATCTCCTTCAATCTCCCTTCACCTCCCTCTTATAAGAACACTTGTGATTGCATTTAGAAACAACCTAGGTCATCCTGGATAAACTCCCTATCTCAAAATCCTTAATTGAATCACGTCTGCAAAGTCTCTTTTGCTATGTAAAATAACATTAAGTTTCCAGGAATTAAGACCTGGATAATTTTAGGAATCATTACTCAGCCTACCACAAGGGCCTTTTCCAAACTGCATTAATCCCTAGGGATAGCACCCGCCCCATTCCTCGCCCTCAGAGAGAACAGCCAGCCACCTTTGGGAACTTGACAGCCACTGCTCTGAGAGCCTCTGGAAATGGATGGGGGTGAGGGGACTGAGAATCACTGCCTAAGATATAAGTAACACTGTCATCTTTGAGTTATTGTTAGATATCTGTGAAATTTTAATCTCTGAACAATAAATGATTAAATCACAGATATTTTCATGGAATCTGAGATGATTGAATTAAGAATATGTGACAAATACAGAGGCCTCTGTTCAGGGGTTTGTTTTAGGCTTTCTACCTTGGTAAGAGCTCCTAACATGTGATTCCCAAGGAGGTGGCTCACAGATATAATCTAGCTGTGCCTGAGAATACACATTGTGGCTCTTTAGTCAGGTTTCTGTTGAAAGACTGATTTAAATTTTTGCCACTAGTACTTCAAACACGCTCAAACGAAATTTGTCCAACACCAAGCTAGAAGAAATGCATTTTACTTCCCATTAAAAAGTAATATTACTGGAAACAGTAATCAAAGTGAAACTGATACCTAATAAGTTAATGCTGCTAAGAATTATTTAACTACCCACATTCTAATCCAGCATTGCACGTATATATTCTCTAAAAGGAGCAAAATAAAATAAATACCCTGCAATTGTACTACAATACCCTCTGATACACTCAAGATCTCTTTTTTCCCACAAGGTTACAGTCTCCTTTTTCCTTTCATGTTCCTCTAGCTCACTTAGCTTCCGTATTATACTCCAACTCGCTACACTTTGTTAGAGATACTTTCTCCAGCCATACTTAAGGTGCACTACCTGTCACTGCCTTTTCGTTTCAATTGCTGAAACTCAGTTGGATATAGACTTATTCTCCGCCAGGACCAGACCTCAGAACACTAACCAAGAAGCAAGCAAAGCTTCTTTCAGGGGATTATACTGAGCAAATCTCTTCAGTGGCTTCTCATCATCCTTGGGGTCAGTTCAAACTTTCTAAAACACATAAGTGGCCCTCCCGAATAAAGTTCATGCCTAAATCCCAAACCATCTCTCACCACTCCCTGTCACTGGCACCCTAGGCTTCAGCCTACGCCTCCTTAATGCACGCCAGAATAACTCGTAATTCTGCACACACTTCATCTGAAATGTCCCTCATCAACTGCCAACAATTTATTCATTATTAAAAACTCAGTTTGGAGTCAGTGGCTCAGTCAGTTTTCTCTGAAACAGTCCCTTGACTCTGGCAAATCCCTCTTCCTTTGTGTTCTTTCTGGTCTTTACACAGATTGCTATTGGAGCACTCGTGTCCCTCCATTTACACTTTGGCCACAGATCTGTTTTTACATATTAAAAGGTTAGTTTACATATCATACTATAATCATTTTTGTACACTCCCCTCTGCCTAATTCCTAGCACAGTACGGGCACATATTAGATTGCCAAGGGATAAATAAATGTAGAATTTTGCCTCTACCTTCTCTCCTTGCTTTTAAATCTACTTTAGAAAATATTTGCTGTGACTCTTTTGTACCAAGATCAAAATACAAGCTCATACTCAGGACTAGCTGTTCTTTAATCTATATTCCTAAATGTAATATAAAGGTGTTTCTCTCTATTAAATAAATTCTAGAAATTAGCAAGCATTCCTGATGTTTCTGAGGATTAGAAGCCCTCCTGACATTCGGAAAACACACTTTAAAGGTGCCCCTCTATGCCTGGCATAAAGAAATACACTCCGTGACTCGTAATCTGCAGAGTCCTGGAGTTGGAACAAATCTGTTCTCATGACCTGATGATTGAATCCTCTCTATAAAGTCCAAAATGATGCTGAAGCCTCATTTGGGCCCATCTAGCAACCTCTCAAAAGAGTCCGTTGCATTTTTTTGTGAGTGCCTTAAAAAGAAAAAAAAAAACAAAAAAAACATATACTTTGACATTTTTGAGCCTTCTGGTCAATACTAAGTGAAATTGCAAAATAACAAGGAAGGAAATCCACCATTTCAAAGTTTAAATTAAAAAAACAAGGAACGAAAATCACCTTAGGGCACCTTTTTTTTTGCCTTTTAGTTTTAGACTCAAGAATGGTAGCCACACTAAAATAGGCATATCTAAGATAATCAAGATTACAACAGGAAACCGTTTGTGCATACATTGCAATGGCAGGAAACTGATTAGTTCAGCGAGACAGGATGCTTCTTGTCTCTACTGTTGTTTAAGTTAATCCTGTGCCGCGCCATGGGCAACTTCTCTGAGATAAAGGACTGTAAAGTCGCTTCATGAAAGCAGACTGAAGTACAATTAATAATAAATGCAGGAATAATGCAAAGCACTGTCTAGTGTCGCAAGGAAGCTGAAATCGAACAGCAAAGGTACAGGGCGGGAAGGCAGTCTAGTAATATTATGTAAAAAACTACGTGTGATCTATAGAATACTAAGTTATATATAATGCACTTATAATAAAAGGAATACTATCAAAATAAATAGTTGGCATGCTTTGAAAGTACTTCTTCAGGATATTTTCTATGAAGCCTGAAGAATCCAAATTGGATTGCTTGAAATCTGCTGTTACTTATTACTCAACATTCTACCCTGCGGTAGGTAGAAATTGCCCCACAAAGATGTCCATACCCTCATTCCCTGGAACTATAAATAAATTACCTTACTGGGCAAAAAAGACTTTGCATATGTGATTAAGGTTAAAGACCTTGAAATGGGAGATTATCCTGGATTATTCAAGCATCCAACCTTATCACTTTGTTCCTAACATTGGAGATCCTGTCCCAGCTAGGTTCAGCATCAGAGGGAGATGTGACCACAGAAGAATGGTCAAAGAGATGCATGTTTCTAGCTTTGAAGATAAAGGCAAGAAATGTGAATGGCCTCTAGAAGCTGGAAAAGGCAAGGGAACAGATTCTCCTCTAGAGCATTAGAGAGAAATATATCCCTGCAGATAACATTTTTGCCCAGTTTAGCCAAGTGAGACCCATGCTGGATCCATGATTACATAATGGTTAGATAATAAATTTGTGTTGCTTTTAGGCACCATATGTGTTGCAATTTGTTACAGTAGCAATAGAAAACTAATATACACCCATATTCTTTCAGGGTTTTACTCAAACATGAAAAATGACTCAAACTAAAACCAACTGCCATGACTATAAGTGACTGTTTAAGAGATACCCTAACATTTGTACTTGATTTACTTCTAAAATGTTTTTCTTTTCTCTGTTTAAAGAAGGTCCTGAAATAGTAGATCTTTCAGAAAGGTAATGAAAGCACTGAAAAATAAACCTGACAGATCATCAATTTCTCCCAGTGAATCCAGTAGAAAATATCATTCAATTTACTTGAAATTCTTTTATGCTTCAGTGGAAAACTTTTTATCCTATGATCTCTCCCCTTCTTCCTCTAAACCTGATTTTAAAGTATTTTTTAGATGATAAGTGTTTAATAATAAACACTATGGGCATGCATGTTTTCTAGAATTTATTATAGTGATAAGAACGATTAAAACTCAATTTGCTAATTGAAACTTTGTCATTGTACAATGTGGCATTGATTTACATTTCAGGCCTTACTTACACCTCATTGATTAAAAAAAAAAAAAGAGTAGGGTTGCAAATCCTTCTTACTCACCACTTTGCAGCAAAGGGGCCAAAACCACCACATCAAACCAATGCCCAAGAGCAGCAGTAACACCAAAATGGCAATGATGGCTGCAACCCCATTAGACTGGAGTAGGAAGAAAACAAAAACAAGGTGGTCAGCAAAGCTTAGGGTCAAATTCCAATATGTATATATGTATGTATGTATGTGTATATATATATATATATATATTTTAAGAAAACACCAGAAAATAATACAAGAAGTATAACAATGTCAAACCAGATTTCTACTATATTTCTTTAAATTGTATAAATTTCTTTATATTCTATTTCATATATGTTACTATAAGACAAGCAATAATTAATATAAAATCTTCCAAAGTGCTAGAGACCATTTTAAATTATGCCTTGAAGGAATGCAGGAAAAAATCGCTACTTGAGGTAATAGAATGGACGGTCCCTAAGGTCCCTATCTTTTGTCTCTGGGAAAGGGTTATATTGGTTACAAGCATGATTACCTCTAGGCAGAATTTATGCAAAATTTTTCCAGACTTTTTGATGATAGAACACTATTTACTTTATATATTTAATGACAGGAACAGATAAATATCAAAAATCACCAAGCAGGTGATAAACCAACAACAGTGGTTCTTGTCCGCAAATGGTATATGTGCACCAATGCAAAAGTGCAATCATGCATTTATATATCAGGAGATCACTTGTGGCAGCTCAAATGCTAACCCCCCATGAGAACCACACTGGTATTCTTTCACTTCCTAATCAAAGTTCCTCCAGGCCTGAGGCCTCTGCTCTGGACTCTGCCTCCAGCTCCCTTCATCTAGCAATCCCCTATTCATCCTACAAAGCCTCGCTGAATGAAGTCCCAGACCTAGGAAGGCTTCCCTGCACCCTCTGGCTGAGATGCTCCACCTTACTATACAATGCATAGTTCTCTATACTTTAATCTTCAGCACTTATCACAATTTATTTGTTCATTTGTTTATGGTGAACTGTAATTATTTATTTAATTTCTCTTTTCTGCCACTATTTGCCTAATATGAGCTCTAGGAAGTCAGAGGCTAGGTCCAACCTACTCACCAACATATATTCCATGCTTGGCTATTTACTAAGAGAATGAACTCTAAAGAAATGATACTGTAAAAGCCACAACACAAAAAAGAATGTTTACTGAGTTTTCAGTGTAGAGATAAAGTTTCCAAGGGAACAAGGTATCTCTTCCTAACTCACTCAGTGGGATCCCCACTAATAATGTTTTGTTTTTAAAAGAAAGAATTCAGGAAAGAAAAATAATAAATCAATACCCTAGGTAAAAATGTGGGACTTTATAAGGCAGCTTCTCAAAGATAATATTTCCTGTCATTCAAAACAAATAAGTGTAAGCCCAGATGTCAAGGCCACATTTACCCCAAGAGCTGAGAGAAAGAGAGATTGGGAGGCGGAGGCAGACAACCTACTAGTACCCTTTTAGAATTTCATTGTATTAAAAGTATTAGAAAATGGAGGCCCCAAGAAATAAAACAACTTGCTTAAAATCAGACCTCTAGACTAATCCACAAAATTAGAAAGCCAGTTGCTCCCAAATCATGAAACTGCAAAAAAAGCCATGACTGTTATATCTCTCTTAGAAAATCACTCTGCACACTAACATATTTATAAAGCTCTGAATGGTTTTGGAGCAAAGAAGTCCAACTTATATCATCACAGAACCATTTTTTTTGCTTATAACATTTTCAATATCTTGCAGAACTAGGATTCCCTAGAGTTTATTTTGGAAAATGTAAAGATTGTTCAAAGCTAAAAAAACTTTCAGATATTTAAGCTACAATGGTAGTAGCATTTAATTAGAACACTTTATAATGGAATTTGAAGTGTAATACATAATGACATGTACAAAAAGAGATAATAATCTTTATGAAACAGTTATTTGTAAATAACTAAAAAGAGAAGAGAAGGTAGTTTTCAAAAGGATTAGCAAAGTGTTAGCAAAATATACTTGATTTAGCTAATCTGAAAAATCTTGAAACACATGTCATTTCCTGTGTCATCTGTTAGTATTACAATGAAAAACAAAGAAAAAGAGATTACCAGATAGTGGCTTGGAAACTATCCCAAAACAAATCAATTTTCAAAGACATTTATTATTAGCAGACTTTTAGTTTTAATAAATCTACTAAAAAATAACTTTTGAAATAATTTTCAGAGCAGGAAAAACCATATAACATTCATTAACTTCAGAAATTTTCAGAAAAAGATTAAGAATTAAGTATACATGAACAATTAAAGTATCTTTTGATTTCTAATTTTGTATCTGAATGGAAGAGAGAATAAGCATATAAGCTATTTACGTAGCTCATGCTAGGTTTCAAATTAACTGAAACAGACACCACCAAAGTATCACTTAGAATCCTTGATCACTTCATTTAATTTATCTTTTAGAAGACAAGAAAAATAACTATAAGAACTTCACACACATGGTATCATTATAGAACTCTACCATTTACTAGTAAACCATTTTAAGGTATTCAAAGATGATAGTCTGTTCTATTTACCATAATTATTTTAAAATATAAGAAATAAAAAAGACATACTAATCTAGCAATTTCTTTATGTAGAGTTTGGTAGAATGAAAATGGAAGCTCTATATTTGATTACTTAGGTATCCTAAAC